TCTAAAAAAATTAAACTACTTCTTCGCCGATCCTTTTTAAATGAAACCATCTTTTTAATAGACTTTACAGCCTTTTTTAACGTTGTAACATTATTTTTGAACGTCATGTTTCTTCTTAATCGAGTACAATTCGTTTTTTCCATAATTGGAACATCGATTCTTGGTTGTTCAATTGATTCTACGGTAACAATATCAATATCCATATTACTTGTGTCGTCAGACTCCATCAGTAAGTTCATTGGCGCCTCTGCATTATTTGCGCTGTCATTCTCTAGTTCAGTGAAAGTAGTCTCCTTTAAGTCTTCTGGATCTAAAATTAGAGTGGCACGTTTCTGCATAACAGCTATTTCTCTTCGGTGTTTTTTTGACGCTATCGCAGCGTTAAGCACCAAATTAGCATCAGCGTCTTCATGATTTTGATATATGTGTTTTCCTTTATGTAAAACAATAATATGTGGTCGTTGGACTCTTTGAGCTCTAATAGCCCTTTGTATTTCATAATCAGCTTTCATAAATCCAACGCCGGAATCATTTGATGTAATCGAATCATTAGAAGTTCTTCGTATATGTAATAAGGGTTTTGAAGACATTTCTTCAATATTTAAGTCGAATGGTCCTTGGGTGGTAAGAATTGCACCCGGATAACTGTAATGGCGAAATATCATTTCTGAATTAACAGAATTAAGTTTATTTCGCTTTTGCATGTTAAAGATTCTAAAAAAGTAATTGTCTTCCAGGACAATGATGATTATACCTCTAAGTAGAAAACAAAAAAAAAAAATTTTTTTTTTTTTTTTTTTGTTTATAGGTTCTTAGAGGTAGTCAAAAATCCTTAAAAAAGGGTAATCGAGTTCTTTTATATGTTTACTATGAAAAGCCCAAAACAATTAGGTATGACAATGAGTTATCTGATTTTATTCTGTTGTTCGGTCACATACCCCTATAAATGGAGTTCCAAGATTATTTAGATACATGTAACAATCGTTATATAGCCGTTATCTTTGCTCATCCATTATGTTTCCGGCTATTGTACTATCCTTTGACCAAACAAACCCCAAAATTAGCCTACAAATTTTCATTAGTATGGTAAATAAAAGGTACGTACGACTCTTAATCTTTAGCAAAATAAAGGAAATGTTCGTCTTAGTAAATTTTATTTTAGGCTTGTCTTATCCAATATTTTAAATATTTTATGTTACTCTACATTTTCCCACATGCTTATATTTTTAAAGTTTGGAGTGAATTTTCCGATTCTCCTTTGAAATTGTTATGCAAAAAAATGTGAAAAGTACTGCCTTCTATATTTAGAAATTGGTTGTTTGTTCCGTTGTATTCCAGTAATAGTTCGCGTACGTAGATGCAGGAATGAGTTTATCCTACACCGACTTAAATTATTCCTAAAAATAAATTTTGAACTATGAAACAAAACCATGATATTCGGAGTTTCGGAGATATTAATTGGGATTCAAACCCCTTAATGTTTGAATCTCTCTCATTATTACACTGTATCATCACTTAGTTACGAAATTAAATATATTACGTATTATTGTTGAAACATGTATTATTAGTAAACGTCATACATAGGGACATATCGAAGTTTGTGATATTTTCGCTATTGTTAAGTTTTATGCTATGTTTAACAATAAGACTTGAATGCCGTCATCGTTTTAAGTTTTGATCAGTTTACGCCTAGTTATTAGTCACATGAATGTACGTACGTACGCACGTACGGCACTTATGTTTTCCGAACAGATCACAACAGTCACTTTTTTGACGTAATGTTATACGAATCTTTATGTACGAGTACTTAAAAAGCAAATGATTATTGAATAGTTTCGACATTAATAATACTTTTTACAGAAGGATTTTTTCTAATTGCAGTTTAAGTTCTTCAATACGAACTATATATGTATAAATCTTTTCACAGCCCCAAGTATACATAAGTTAAGTAATAAATTTCTAACGCTATAAATACACTCCTTAACGTTAAATATGTTTATCTATTTGGTCATATGGACTCAAGAGCGTATATTTAGAAGGTTAGATTGTACATAAACTATTAATTATTTAATTTTACGTAGAGTTCTTACGTACTAAGATAATAATAAATGTCAATGATCATGCTAAAATTTGATTAATTATTTTATTATGTGATATAAAAGAATCATGATAATAAATTTATATATTATTTTACAATATATAAAGGTTTTGTATCGCAAGGGCCGGCCCGCGGTCTTTTTTTGG